ACATTATCAAAATAAGATCAAACAAAGCTTCCTGTTGACTATCAACAACCACTCAATGTTTCAGCATAATTCACTCAATGTTAAATCCCTTACAATAATAGAGAAAATTACAACTTAGAAATTGATCAGCCATGAACAACCAGCCAAACATAAGTATTAGTCTTTATTCAGTGAGGTATCAAATTTTTAAATGAATTTTCTTACTTAAGAGTAACTTCTTGTCTTCTGAATAATGCTAGATTCATATTTCTCAACAAACAAGTCACTGACGTGTAGAACAAGTAAATATCACTAATACGTATACTTGAGGGCTAAGTCTTACAATAACAGAGGTTGGGCTTTGGCGCGCGAAACCGAAGCTCCCGGGTTCGAATCCTGACGTTAGCAGGAGTCGTGGATGCGCATTGCTGATGAGTCTCATACCAGGTCGAAACAGCTATCCAGTGCTTCCAGGTTTCTGGTGGTGGTCTAAAAATGACTGATTGATGATTTCAGTGTGTAGAAACACTTATCTCTATAACTCTAATTGAAAAAGGATAACTAACCAATACTTACTTTCATTCCCAGCATCCAATGATAAATAGATGTGCGCTATTTATTTAGTTTTGGACCCAAAAATTAGTGAAAAATAGCTTAACGATCGCCTAATTACCGAATAACCAGTATACTAAAACATTTATGGGAAACGATTTTACTCAGTTATTCAGTAAAATGTTTTTTACCGAAATATATCAGTAGTTCAACGGTGTTTTTGTAAGATTACATTTTCATTAGTCAAATATGGTGAAAGTATAAAATACTGACGTCCTTGAGAGAACCGATTCGAAAATTAAAATAACTCCTTCCTTATTTTGCATGAAATTTAATATGCAGCCCTAGATAACTTGTTTGGTATTTATTGTCCTTAAATTGTCTGAAATCAATTAAAATCTCCATTAAGAAACCGAAAACTGAATTTTATGTGGTGATTTAGTTTAATAACCAAAAGATAATTGTTATCAAGTCAAATCGTACCGTAAAGTATTTGATTCAATACGTTTTAAGTGGGGTTTAGTGAAGCTAGATGAAATATCCTTCCATACTAACTGTTACTTTAATTCTCAATTGTAAGTTTGTAGACAGTAAACAAAACATTGCATCATAGCTGATGCCAAGTTTAAAAAAAACCAAACTGGAAACTCCAACTTAACTCTTACTACCCAACTCTAGCCTTTCTGCATCGTAGCTAATGTCAGTTGGTGAAGAAAACACTTTTTCGGCTGATAACTTTAACCCATAATAATAGTTTGGCTTTTAATCGTGTAACTTAGCTTTCGACATGCGAAAGTTATTAATTATTCATATACAATCTATTAATCCGAAGATATTTTATGTCTCTTGGTTTTGGACTACTTTATAAGTTAGCAAAGTATCCTAAGTAGCTGATAAGTTGGCCAAGGTCGCCAGCAAATTTTACTTCCCTATCAAATATTTGATATAAATCTAGTTAGTATAATAGGCCCTACTGCAATAAATAATGTTTTCCTTTGTTCGGTAGTATGAATGACATGATTTTTAGATTATTTATAAGTTACATCTACTAATCTTTTATATGATACCATTGAGCAAACTCTTCACTACTAATAAACGTTGATATTTCTGCTACGAAGTGATGATTTAGTATTGATAAATATTACGACAGCTACCGTATATCTTGGTGTACGATATTTACTGATACAGAGGTAGATTAAAAGAAAGCAATGGTCTACTGAATACCTAGTTCACGTCCATTAGATGGTCTAATGGTGGTTGGGACATGTGTTACGAATTCCTAACCACCGACTGCCTCGATGAGCTATGTTTTGTGGTGTAGGAGTAGGTTGGAAGAAAGCTAGGGGCGGCCAAACCAAAACATGGCAGAAATCCATGAAGTCACTGACAAGTGGACTGAGTCATGTTGGTAGATGTAGACTACCTGGTTGGGGTCCACGAGAGGATAGTCGCCAATGGTTAGAGACCTTGAACGACATGGCTCAAAATCGTTTGCAGTGGCATAAGTGCATCCATTCGTTGAGCTCTCTCAAATCCTAATCTTCTGGATTCGTCAGCACCTCTACCTTTGTCCATTTAACCCTATCTCAATGAATTATACTTCTTGAATAATATCTTCGAACCCTAGTCTACTCATTACCATTAATACCTCTACTATCTTTATCACTATGGGATTTGATTTGACATTTTCGTCTCTGTGTTAATAATGTGGTATGGCAACATACGTACATACGTACGAAGTTCTACGTTGCAACTGATTGACTGACTGACTGACTCCACTAGATTGAGATAGCCAATGACTGGACATAATGTGTGACATATCTCTTTAATTCCCTCTAAATTTTAAATTACTAAAATCATCTTGTGATTTTCTTATCCCATGAATTTATTCCTTCTTCTCAAATCATTATTACGACTAATGTCATAACCACTTTTATTGTTCGAGCATTAATTTGGATAATTTCATCTCAGTGTGATGATACAGAATGAAAGTTTACACATTACATAGCACTATGCAATCACGATATGAATTGATTTTAACTGGAGGATACATTTCACCTTGACCAGTATAACACTGATAATATTAGATAATCTAACACTGTTCATTTATTTTATCCATGCAGGAAGACAATCATTATATAATTAGCTCACTGCCCCTATACTACTTACATCTTATGAGTATCATTAGTTAATGCAACGTTACAATGACATTTTCTTGACTCACGTTATTTTGCATTACGGGGTTGTGAAGATTGTTAAGTTACACATTTTTTGAAACCATGAACCGATCAATGTTAGACTACCATTAGAAACCTGGAAGCACTGGACGGTCGTTTCGTCCTAGTATGGGACTCCTCAGCAGTGCGCATCCGTGAATTTGATCAAGTTAGACATTAACACCATTAGATACCGGCCCAGTGATCTAACGGTTAGGGCATTCGCGCACAATACCGAAGGTCTTGGGTTCGAATCCTGCGGGGTGCAGCAGTCGTGGATGCGCACTGCTGAGGAGTCCCATACTAGGACGAAACGGCCGTCCAGTGCATCTGGGTTTCTAATGGTGGTCTAACATTGATCGATTCATGGATTGGAAAAATTGTGTAATGTTACTTTACTAAGAAATTCAGTTTAAAGTTCCTTACCGATTATTTTCAACCATCCAACAATCCTATTAAGAATCATTAAATCATTATACTACTCACAAAATGAAATGGTATTTGTCTTAAAAAAATTAACAGCTAAAAACACAAAACACCTGATTAATTTTCATAGATCATAATAAAATGACTGATACACATTGTACACAACTTTGAAGATGATGTTAGAAAAATATAAATTTTTACATATTTATATATGTTGAGTATACATAATAGTATGAGAATTGAATAAATAGATAGATAGATAGATAAATATAAGGGATGTTTGTACTTGGATAAGAGGTATCTTAATTTGGATAGAATACGCTGTTTTTTTGCTAATAACAAAACTGTAATATACATTGATAATGAAATAAGATTTATGCCATTTTAAAAGTACAGTTAGTTAATGTGTCACACAGAGTTTTCACAATAATCTTTGATAAAAAAAGAGGGGGATGAAATTGAATAACAAAGGAATTTTGGAAGTATTTGTTTGCATTCAATCGAAAAATTTCATATTTTTATTTACAGATGATTACAAAATCGATACCCTTAGGCAAAAATTAACACTGGGCATAGTGTTTTTCTAAGCACAAATTTAGCTACTATTTTTATTAATAAGTAGTTTGTTAGTTAAACGCTAAAATATTGATACGGTAGATATTTCTAAATACGGTTATATCGAATTTATTTAAGGTCATTCATTAACTAGTATCGTAAATATATAGGTTGGAACAATGATAGTTATGCGTACAAAAGTCAGTTTAATCTTTTAAAAGTGAATTAAATTGAAATTAATCCTCTGTTTGTAATAAGGGGGTATATCAGACGTCTGTTTCAATTGTTTTACCATATAAGTGTTGTTGTTTCGAAGAAAAATCTTTAGAATTTTTCATTTCAGCATTCGTGCTATTACCGCTACTAACATGTTTTTGAATGTATTGTTGACTGAGAACCGGTTGAATTGGTGAAGTATTGATTAATTTACCATCTGATGATTGTACGAGTGAAGTTGATGTTAATGAGTCATTTAACATTTTTAATTCTGATTGATTTTGTTCACAGTATAATTTCCCGAGTTCAGTTTTGTGTTTTGACGCATTCTTTTCATCATTGTCATGTGTATGCTGTAGATCATCTTGGTATTGATCAGCATGTTCTCCTAAATAGTATTCTACCGGTAAATATTGATTGTTCTTGGAGTCTACAACTTGACTTTCACAAGATTCATTTGTTGTCTCTTCTAAACAACTTAAAAATCCTCTTTTGAAATGTTCAACAACTTTAAGCGGTTGATTATATTCTGGCATATTTTCTTTTTTTGTTTTAATACACAAAGGTAGAGATAAACTGCGAGTAATTTTACTGACATATGTCGTTGGACTAAGATTATTGCTACTAGGATTTAGTTTAGAACTTTCTTCTTGAGAATGTGAATTCGTTAAAGTGGAATCCAATAGATTGAGATCATTTGCTGTGGTTGATTTTCTCAGCTCTTCAGCATCTTTACAAACTCCTGAATCAATAAATTCACGATTAGTTTCATGATTCAATACATTAACCGAGTGTCGAGGTTGAATCAGGGATTTTGGCAATAAAAGATCATCGTACTCGTTAGTTTCTTTAAACGGTAGTGTATTTTTATTTTGCTGAACTAAACAATTATCTTCTTGATAGATATTTGGCCAAGTTGCCACTGATTTAGCTCGATTTTGATGTTTCATGTTCATGAATTGATCAGTGTTTTGTTGTTGTTGGTGTTGATTACGCATTAATTCCGTATCACATTTACTGTCTGAATTTAAACTGCCTAAACTCAAATTAGCATAACTAGTACACGATTGAACATGTATGAAAGTTTGTTTATCTTCAGTTTCAGTTTCTCTATGATAAAAATAATTGAAATTTGAAACAATCACAGGTACAGGTAGTGCAATAGTTAAAACACCAGCAATTGCACATAATGAACCGACAAGTTTACCCCACATTGTTACCGGTCGCATATCACCATAGCCGACAGTGGTCATTGTTACAACAGCCCACCAAAATGCATCTGGTATACTACGAAAATATGTTCTATCTGAATCGACTTCAGCAAAATAAACAGCCGACGAAAAGAGTATCACACAGATTAATAAGAAAAATACTAATAAACCTAATTCACGTGTACTAGCTTTTAATGTTTGACCAAGAATTTGTAAACCTTTCGAATGTCTAGATAATTTAAATATACGAAATACACGTACAAGACGTATTACTCGTAGTATAGCTAATGACATAGCTTGATTTTGACTTTTACTTTCATCGGCAACCATTGTACCTACAGTAATAAAATATGGTATAATAGCTACAATATCAATGAAATTCATGATATTACGAAAAAATGCAATTTTCTCCGGTGATGAAGCGAATCGTACAAGTAATTCAAATGTAAACCATATAATGCATAGAGTTTCAATTAAGAAAAATGGATCCACCACGGCTGGTATATCATCTTCTGTAATTAATAAACATTTCATTGGATCATAATGTTGTTGACAATCAGTAATAGATAAATATAAATTTTCTGTATTTTTAGTTGATAAATTAAGATCATTTAATGTGGATGTTGATGCTGATGATGAGGATGAGGATGATGATGATTGAATATGATTGGTTGAAGTGTTTTTCATGAGATTAATAGTAGTCAAATTGAAATTTGATGATGTTGACTCTGATACTGACGATGATGATGCTGATGATGATGTTGATGATAATACTACTGGTTGTCCATAAGTAGATAAATTCACAAATTTATAATGTTTGAAAGACGGTAATGTTTCAATACAAAATATAATAATTGATAAAATAATTACAAAAATTGAACATATAGCTATACAACGTGCAGCAAATGAACTTTCTGGATATTCAAACAATAACCAAATTTTACGTTGAAATTTATTTTCTGGTAAAATTTTCACATCTTCACGTATAAAACCTTCATCATCACGATATTTTTCTATGGCATCTTCATCAATTTCATAAAAATTAATTTCTTCAGTGAATACATCAATTGGTACATTGACTGGACGACGTAAACGGCCACCACTTTGATAATAATATAAAATTGCATCGAAACTTGGTCGGTTTCGATCGAAAAAATATTCATTTCTTAGGGAATCATAATAACGATCTAATTTTTTTGGATCACCTAACAGTGTGTTGGGAAATTTTTTCAATGTACTAAATTGTGTTTCAAAACGTAATCCTGAAATATTTAATACCACTCGTTGATTTTCATGTGTATTTTGTAGATTAGTTGGGATACGATGTAGTTGGATATTGTTATCATTGGGAATGAAATCAGAATAACCTGTAGTCGTCGTAGTAGTAGTTGTTGTTGTCGGTGGGATGGATGGTGTCAACTTCGTCGATGATGATGTGGTCAGTGGTAGTGATTGTTGTTGTTGCTGTTCATCTATGTCAAATGTTTTCTGCCAATTATAAGTAGTATTCGTATTGGTATCTAACAAATTCTCATTAAGTTTACTCTCTGAAATACTATAAGATAAATTTGATAGATTAGGTGAATTACGATTAGTTTGTAAACTTGTACCAGAAGGGAATAACTTGGCATATTCATGTGTATCAGTTTGACTACGATTTTGTTGTGTTACACATGTATCTTGTGATGAACTGCACAATAATGGTGTATTATTGGTTGAACAATGCGAAAATACACTACCTGTATAACTGTATAAATTAGATGGATTTGATAGGCCAGTACTGCCTCCACCAGCGCCAACCATACCACTATATGGTCGTGTACCGTAAGATCTAAAGTTTTGATGAATAAAAAAATAAGAGTAAAGAAACATCATGAATTCACAAGCAGTAGTAGTGTGGTGCGAGCTACTTATAAGTAGTATATGACGTGAGTGTCAAAGTAATGTCTGGCAGCAGAAAATGGGGGAAGATCAAACAAGAAAGGAAGAGTTAGAACACAATGGAATTTGTATGAAACGCATGAATATTGACAATAGATTGATGTTTTGCAACAGGAACAGTCCAGTTCGATATGATGGACTGATATTTTGCAAATGAACGATTTACGATATGGTTTTCCTATTTTACTGAGTAACTCTGTAATTTTCGTTAATCACATTCCGGTTGCCCCACTTGTTTTCACATTCACTACAGTAGTAGTAGTATTCGGTTAACAAAACCTACCAAAAACTAGTCGTTTTGATTAAGTTGCGTTTCGATAAAATCATCGTCAATCAAGGCAGAAATAAATTGGTTGTTTGACATTTTTTGGACAGTATATATCTATAATCTCACGTCTTAGTGAATTCATCAGCTCTGTATTTTCTTAGTAGAAATAAATACTGATAATTTCAAATCTAGCGCTTTATAACAGTAATAATAATAATGGTTATCATCACTAGAAAATCGAAAAAAATTTGTAGTAATTATGGTGGAGTTTAATTCTCTGTGCTGGATATTTCGGGTTATGAAGTACTGGAATTTCTCCACGCAAAATTCGTAACTTGTCCTGCTGACCTTGGTCTTCATTAACCAGGCCTCAAGGTCAATCACAAACAATCAACTTTTTAGCTCACCTTATCCTCAATTAATCAGCTATACAATTCACTGACTGAACTGATACAATCAAACAGACATCTAATGATATAATCAATATGTTAATTTATCTAACCAAAAAAAGTTTTTTATTCAGATAACTAAAATTTTTTTAGAAAACACAAACAAACTGAAAATTTTTGTGCTTTTTTTAAATTGCATAAAATAAAAATTTTCCACATCTGACATTAAATAATAAATATTATGAGAAGCAGAAAAAATAAAAAATGAAAACATTAGATTTCGACTAAAAAAAAGAAAACTGTTTCGATTTCAGGACACGAAAAGCAAAAAAAAAATTTACAAATCGCAATAATTATTTATTTTGTTCAATGTTCAACACTTGGAACTCCCATGTTTGTTTGTTGGTTTTTTTTCTAAAGCGATACAATTATGAAATGCACATTATCGTTTGTTTTAATTTACAGAGCAAAAAAGGAAATATAAAACAAGGCAATTATATATTTAAATCTGAGTATTGATTCGGCAATAAATGAAACATTTTTCTTCTTTAA